GGGAGGACAGAAGGTACCCCCCCCTTATTGTTTTATTAGGGCCCCCACCCACCGCTCAGGGGTGGGGGCCAGGGGGGGAGGACAGTAGGTCCCCCTTATTGTTTTATTAGGGCCCCCACCCACCGCTCAGGGGTGGGGGCCGGGGGGGGGGAGGACAGTAGGTCCCCCCTTATTGTTTTATTAGGCTCCCCACCCTACCCACCGCCAAGAGAGGGGTGGGGGCCAGCTTGGGCCAGTAGGTTCCCCCCCATCTTTATTTAGGGCCCCCACGGGCATGGGGGGGGGGGTTTATTAGTTTTTTTTTTTAGTTTTTTTTACAGTGAGCAGCTATAAGTTGCTCACTGCTTACTACACATGCCCCTACTCGCGATATAGCGAGTAGGGGCATATTATTTACCAATACTAAGTCATCTTTACTTAGTATTAGTAAATGTGGCTGAAAGACCAATTTAGGTCTTTCAGCCTTTTAGTAGATAGCTCCCTGATACCGTGGGAATTAGGGAGTTATCTACTAAGCGGCTGCAAAATGCAGCCACAGTAATGAATAGGATTGGAGTTTCATTCATTCGAATGAAATTCTGATCCGAATAAAGTGCCGAATTGCGTTCTAAAAGAAACGAACAGACTGTTCTCATTCAGTTAGAACGCAATTCGGCAGTTTTGTGTAAAATGACAGGAAGCATTGTGGGAACACAGAGGAAAGCTAGGGATCATGGGAAAATTGCTCTGACCAGCGGAAATGAAGCACACTTTGCTCCTCCGCTGGTCAGAGCTGGTCAAGCGGAGGAATCCTCCATAAGGCAAAGAGTCCCTACTTTGTCTTTTGATTTTAAAGAAAACTAAAGAAGACAGGAAGAAATGAAGAACAGATCCTGAGAGAGGGGGAGAAGAGGAAGAGATTGAGGAAAGGTAAGTTCGGCATGACAGTGCCGCTTTAATAGTGTTTTCTTGGCAACATAAATACATAGTCTTGGTAGAACAATAGGCTGCACTCTACATTATTCTTGAATCTTAACATATTGTATAGTGTTATGTTCCTGAAGATTGGCTTTCAATTATCACAATACAATAGCTAACATTTTATTCCAGAACATTAATTTTATTTGTAATCAATGATGTTATATTCTCCTGTCATGTAAACAACAGTATTTTACATTTTTATTGTTTAGCAAAACACAGTAAAAAAACAGCTGGTTAAAAATGTTGGTGACATTACTCTAGTGCAATAATCATCTTGTTCTCAGGTGCAATAACTGATTATGAAATCAATTCTCTGTGCATTATAGTGGATTAAAGTTTATTTTACAGTTAGTTTAAATTAAAAGGACAGAACATGACCTATCAGAAGGTGAGAATGTATTATTGATGTGCACATCACTGCATACAGTGTGCGTGAGCTCAAACAGCCAGGCTAGCTTGCAGATCTGGTGGAAAACATTTGAAGAAGTATCAGGCCATCATCTAAAAAAAAGCTTTTTTCTTTATTCGATAAGACCAAAACCCAAATCAGCCAGCCTTAATTTTTTAGATGTGATGACATCTTCTTTATGAGGTTGCTGTCCTGATGAAGAATGAATTGTCTGTCTTCATCTATATCCACCTATGGAAGGGATTTGTTTTTGGTAGGACTCCTGTTTTTTAAAGAAGTTACAGCAAGTGATGCTAATTCAAGTCAATGTTTGCTCTAATATGCCATTTTCGTAGAAATGTTTAAATTTAGAAAACTTCTAAATACTTCAGTTAAGCTGAATAAAGTATATTAATGTGGTTTTCATTGTTTTATAGTAATGTGCTATTTCCCTTGGTAGGTAAATATAACATTTATTATTTGTGCTGTTTTTATGTTGTTTTTCTTTTCTTTTTTGTACAGGGCTGATTTCTGAGTCACCACGTGTGAGAATCTCAGGGTGTCACGACTACTGTATGACCCAACACGCAAAACTATGAGAACACAAACAACGTATACCGGGCCTTAGAATGGCCAGACTTAATGTAAAAGAGAATGGTCTAATAACAAGCCGAGGTTGGTTATCCAGAATGAGACAATATGAATATACTAGCCAATGGTCAGGATACCAGAAGTAGGAAAAGTCAAAACACAAGCCAAAGTAAAAAAACTGAAAATATTACCAAGAACACGGTCTCTGACAACCAACAAGTGGAAACCACAACATGGCACTGAGAAAAGACATTACAGGGTTTAAATATGCCTCTCAGTGCTGTGATTGGTCAGTACGTGGCCTTTGATCTCAAAAAGTGCATGTGCGTCGACATTGTGGCACACTCATGCCAGCTCCATCCTTAATGTGGGCAGTGTGTCTTTTATTAGTAAGAATGGGACTGCAGCGGCCGGCAATTCTTAGAACACCGCACCAGCCAGGACCTATCTTAGGGGAGGATCGGGCGGCAATCCACCGTGATCCAGGTGAGTATATTTCTCTCTTCTCAGTGCGACCACCCTGCTTAAGTGCAGCCGCACACACAAGGGACTTAATTTTAGCTGCAGCTTTAGCTGTATATGTAGCTAAGTATCGGCGTGACCTTACTGATCAGGCACGGTCACGCAGGTACAAACCCCCAGCGCTATGACACAGGGGAACTGACTCAAACAAATCCTGACATACTAAGTTATTTATTCTCAGTGCCATTGCTGGGATGGATAGGGATGGAATGGAGAAGATTCTAATTTTTTGTTTTTTTTTTTGTTTGGGAAAAATAAGCAGTTGACAAGACATGAGGTTTGCTCAATAATGTGGGCTGGATCTCCTGTCTAATCAAGAGGCAACATAAAAAACATAATTGATGGTTAGGGCCTAGCCCCTAACATGCTTACACACAAAAGTGAGAATTAAAAGTGAATACAATAGACCATCAATATTAACATCACCATCAACATCACCTTTTCAAGTGCTGGTGTACAGTCTAGTGTTGAGACAACTTCCACTGATGCAAATCTACCTGCATATTTAGAAGCCCTAAAGCAAGGAGTGTGGGCTAAACTTTGGGCTCACTTTGAGTGCCTTCAGGAATGCGAAAAGCTGGTCACCTCACTAATGCCAGTATGAAGCAATACTTGCAAAGATACCACAATGTCTGTATTACTGATTGAATAAGCAAAGCCAGGAAGTACTAGTGCAGGCTGCAGGTCCATTGATGCTGAATCTTATTCTGCGCAATTGTCATGACCTACCATTGGTGCTTAGACAGAGCAAGGGGAACAGTGAGATAGGTATGTCATGGAAAATAAGCATTGGAATTGCAAAATGTCTGATATAGTGTAGCCATTTAGCCAGGCAATATTGCTGCTATTTTTGGCCAGCTGTACTGCCTGTTAGTTTGTCTTTCCTGCATATTTTTGGTACTGAAATTTGGGGGAGCCGAATAGCTACATTAACTAAATTCTGCCACCTGGAAATTGGTTCAGAAGAACTGAAATATCTGGCCCTCTACCAGACTACTATTTATCATTATAGAGGAGTAATGTCACTGTGTTTGGGTTCTAAAGATTATCTTGGTCCAGACATTCAAATATTGTTAGTGGAGGCTCAGTGACTTGTCACAGCGTCATCAGTAGAAATTTACCCATTAAATTCTAACTCTCATAAACTACCAGTAAACAAAAATGACTTCTAGTAGAAAATATTTAACATCACATAATAAAACGAAATGCAAAAACATAATTGTGAAACTAACAAATTATAAAAATGCACAGACAGTTGACATTGTAAGTTAAAATATGCCCTATTTTGTTGTATTTAAATATGAAAATAAAGATAATATTGTCCTGATAGATTTTTCTTTGGCTAAAACATAGAATTATGACAAAGACCTCTTAGCAGATCGACAACATTGCTGCTCTTGTCTGTTCTATTAAAACTGCCTGCTGCTTGAACACTTTGTGTGCCTAGAGAATCTCTTTTTTGCCATATCTTTGTGGGATTGCTGGTCCTGCTCCAGAAGAACCGGGTGGCTGCTGGATTAAGTCTGGCTCCTATCTTTATTATTAAAACATAGAATTATGTCACAATAACCCACTATATTTTTCACCCCTTAAGGACCAAACTTCTGGAATAAAAGGGAATCATGACATGTCACACATGTCATGTGTCCTTAATGGGTTAAACAAAGCAGTATAGAATTTTCCAAGTCATATTGAATGTTTCTCACACTTACATCTTCATATTTAAAGGTTAATAGTAGTAGCTCATGTTAAACAATGTTTCTTTAAATCTGTCACTCAACTATGCCTCATATGTGCAATTTATATATCAGAGTAGTAGTTCTGAAATGCAGGGTGCATAAGCCTAAAGTGTAGATGATAGTTGTTGTAATAACTAGAATATGACACATTTAGAAAAACAATATGGAATTAGTGAAGCAGCTGAGCATTCATCATTGTTTTTTTTAGATTGTTTTATATATATATATATATATATATATATATATATATAGTATTCTATTAGTTATTAAAGGAACATGATATAGATAGCTATCAGATATAGGAATTTTGAGAAACAGGATACTGGATGCACA